ATACAAACAAGCACAATAACCAAGCACGAAAGAACGTTCCAAATAACAGGTTATTGTAAACACTGTCACTGTTTCTATGTTTATAGATTTCTATTTAAAAATACCTCTAAGAACTATGTGTAACGTGTTACCATTTAAGTGCAACGAGAAGTCAAAACAAAGAAATAAATCACTTTATTTGCGGCGTTAACAAATTCCACTGTATATCACGATATCCGTTTTGAACGTTCAATTAGGTTTCATTCCGAATAATTTCACAAAGATGGCGGCTGATCTTCGATGTATCATGTCGCCATCTATCAACGAACGCAAACAACATCGCGCGCTGCACTACTTCGAGGAATTAACGTTCGATGATAAAAACGAACATCACACTTTCCTACACGTCAAGGAAAAAATCAGAAACGTTAAATACCTTTAATTATCATGAGAAATGTCAGTTTAACGATTATTTAAACGAAAGTAGCATGGAAATGTCAAGATTAAAATAGATTAACCGCACAGGGAATGCAATTACTCAGTTCGAATGCCTGTAGCGAACACGAAGCACGTGTAAAATTCTTTGTACTCTAAAACGGGCATATGAGTCGTCAGACGGCCATGTTACGCAACAAAGAGTGAAATATCGCAAACAACAAATAAAGCACGTTTGCTTCGCTTAATTTCGCTAGTCGTATTCAACGAATCATCGAACGATACGAAACCATGCATTTAAGGTCGTGAATATCTAACATCATATTTTTCCAGAGTTATCCAATTAGCATTACCGATCGATACGTATTAGCCTATCTTCATTACGAATCTTCTTTCGTACGATTTATTTACTGACCTAATCTTTACGAGTTACTAATTGAGTGAGCAGTTCACGTACGGGAAGCATTCGTAAAGGAGACCTTACGTGTCGAGGTATCCGTCATAACAGCCCTCAACGCATTGTAATTCGTCTTTCGACCGAATCGATAGAGCTTAAAGGAAGCCTTGTACCTACGCCCCCCACCACTATCCTCTTCCATGAAACATTAAAGTCACATATCGAGATCTATGCCAAACGATATCGCGAATTTAAGAACGCAAACCTCGAACATCTTTATATTCTTTTCTAAGATTTCATGCTAGTAATTCCATCGATATTTTCATTAATAGGTGTTGGCGATTGATCAGAACGTCACGCAAGGATTAACGAGGTTAATCTATCGGTACGATAGCACTGAAGGTAAAATATTATTCCTCTTCGTTATTAACTTTATCATTGCTATCCACTGTAGACATTGCTCAAAATAAAAGGATTATGCGTTTGAAAGTTTTAATTTAGTAATTTAGTAAAATGCGTAACATTTTTATATCGTATTATACGAATTCTACACGATACATGTAACGACCAAAACACACATCTTTTATTTATATTTTAATTTGATTACCAATATTCAATACAGTTTTATATTCATCGCATAACCAATTTTATTCTACTGTCTCGGATTAACACGTATGACCTTGTAAACGACGTGAAAAATAAAATGGACTACAAGAAGATAACATATCAAATTACTTAAACCAGTGCTTCTCTTATAATTTTGTTTCATTCAAGAAAAAATATTACTAGATGAAAATATAACTAAAATATTACCAAAATATTACCAAATAAGAATATTACTAAACTACGTACATTCTATCGTAATAAAACGTTAATGATTAACGTATCTATAGTAAATATGAAATTTCGAATATTTCTATGTACTGAATCCGAAAATTTATTAATATTAATCAAAAAATTTGAATAGATATAATACAGCTGGAAGTTTTAAAGGTATCCTTTGTTGTTTCAAGAATGAGAGGAGACTTTGTTAAGGAGATCCGTGTTCGCAGGTCTGATACTTCGTGACCAAGGTAATCTACCCTTTCCAGAGAAAGAAGGTAAGGCCCTTGAAGTTTCTTGCGGCGGTTGGTCGTATCTTTCTTTTTGAAACCATGCAAAACAACGTGTTTACGTTCGAGATCGTTCGTTACTCGCGTTATTTACGGAAGCTGTCGCACACGATTCACAGGTTCCGTATTCTGAGCATAAATTATTTTTAAAAAACCGGATTTTATCGTCCGCGAAAAATATTACTAAAATCTAGGGAAATAAAATTATACGTCAAGCTTTACGTTTGGCTTTCTATTAAAATCCGAATTTTTATTAACTCCACCGTAATTGAAACGAGAATTTCCGTCAATATTGTAGAGGAAAATAAATATCGAAACGTCGTGAGTTTAAAAGCTAGTTTAATCCCATCGATTTTCGAATTTCCGGTATTAAATTGTACCTTGAAAAAATTCACGACTGAAGGTAAATTTATTATATAGTTAGATATCCAAATTTAGCTTCTAGGTTTATACTAAACTATATATAAACTATATATTTATACTAAATTTATTTCAATGGAGAAATACATTTATTATTAATAAATGTACTAGCAATGATCTAGTAACAAACTAGTTTAATCTAGGAAGTAACTAGTAAGAAAGTAGTAAAGTAAAACTAGGTTAATAAATTACAAATAATTTAATAAACTAGCATTAAAGTAACAAACTTCTGTAACGATCACTTTCTCAAATCGATTACCAATAAAATAAAACCCTAGAATATCTATCTAAACAAACTAGGAAGAAATTCCTACATCTGATAATATTATTTTATATAACGACTGCCTTAACGAATCTCATCATTTGCCAAACTTTCAAAATATTCTCTGCACTCGTACAAAATAATCCTACGATATTTTGAAATCGATATTTAACCCAATATCCGATATCTAACAGATAATAACAACTGAAGACTACTCAAAGCGCATTTTCAACATTAAAAAAATGAAAAAAGAAGAAGACTGCTTGATGAGATCACGCGCGAAGCGGAAGAACCAATCGATGATGGCATGCTAGCCTGATTGGTCGCTTCTGACGACTATAGTTCCTTCAGCGATCATATCTAACGACCACACCTTGCAACTTGTGAACGACACTTTAACCCGTCACTCTGCCAGTCAACATCTATTTTCATCCGCCAATAACTTCATATTTTCTTTCATCTTTCTTTTCCAAGCAGAATAAAAAGCAACGAGCTAACATACTTTCGCAAAACGAGCAATGCCTTTTCTCCATTTCCAACGGAAACGAACGCCATTATCGCCATTGACCGCTTCCTGTCCAAGCGCAGGAACTTCAACTGAACAGCATCATCGACTCGTAGGCAGAAATTCAACCGGCTATTTTTATACATAGAAAGATGTTTTCTGCCCATTGTTCGAGAAAACACGCGAACAATCGTGTCGCAATCTGAAACTGTATCTTCAATTTCCGACGTCTCCCGCGATATCCTCGAGCCGCTCTACACTTTCGCAACGGTTCAAGTCGCGAACGCGGTAAACAAATTTGCAAGACCGCTCCTCCTCACAGCAATTAGTCAATTACCGCAATTAGACGTTGCAGACCTCTCATCTTGCGCGCATAGAAGGGTACGCTTCGGAAATCGTATTTCTCGAGTCACGAACTCACCAAGCATCGAGAAAAATGATCGAAGTACAGACGCGTGAGATCGTGTAATCGATTTATCGATATATAATTCGATTTTATAATTCGCAGAAATTATGAAACTATGTGAAATTAGAAGAAAAAAGAAATCTTGTTATTAGCGTGTTTCTTGTGCCTCTAATTCCTCGCGAAGAAGCTATACAAGAGGTATGTAAAACCTCTTGTACAGCTTATCTGAGCACCTTTTTATTATACATTTATCTACTAAACAGTCTTTTGTTATATGCTTCTTTTCTCACACGTATCTTTCTATTACATAGTTATCTACTAGACATTATCTAATCTAACGCTGAACAGATAAAACAATCTTCACCGTGAGATATCTCAAAACTGACTAAAATTTTAACCTTATTTCTATTATTCTGCAATAAAATTAACAATCCAGGGTATTGCGAGTATCATCCACAAAGTTGTCCAATTTTTCACTCAGTCTTTCCCAAAGAGACTCTTCTCTCACATGCGTCCACGTATGTCCAAACCGTATACACCAGAGACCTAACCTAAAATCTAGTAACAAGGAGAGTGCAAGTTTGGGTCATAGATTTAGTTAAAACTTTGCAGGTTTGTAGATTTAGTCATCCAGTTCAAGAAAACTTACTCGATAGTCTTTGAGATATTTATGATTAAAGCTTTATTATTCTTAACTAGAGATTTATTTTAATAGTTATGGATAGTTATCAAGCGGCATTGTAGCCTAACGGTAATATTTGAAAATTGCCATCAGTGTGGGAATTTTTAAATATCGCCATTAGGCCACAACGGTACTTGATAAATATTAAGGCAATAATAAAACTCTAATCATAAATATCTTGAAAACTATTGAGCTGTTGCCCTTATAATGGTACATTTTCTTAAACTGGATGACTTAATCTACAAATTTACAATGTTTCAACTAAATCTATGATCCGAAGGACTTGCATTCTCCTCGTCAGTCGTTCCCAAGCAGACTCTTCTCTCACATGCGTCCACATACGTCCAAACCGCATACACCAGAGGCCTAACCTAAAATCTAGTAACAAGGAGAGTACAAGTCCTTTGGGTCATAGATGTAGTTAAAACTTTGCAGGATTGTAAATGTAGTCATCCAGGTCATGAAAATGTACTCGATAGTCTGATATATTTATAATTAAAACTTTATTATTCTTAACTAGAGATTTCTTCCAATAGTTATCGCTAGCTATCAAGTGGCATTTGATGAATATTCGAAATACATACATAATTAAAGCAATAATAAAACTCTAATAATAAGTATCTCGAAAACCATCGAGTAGTTGCTGTTATAATGATGCATTTTCTTGAACTGGATGACTAAATCTACAAACCTGCGAAGTTTCAATTAAATCTATGACCCGAAGGACTTGTAAGCTTGTCTCCTGTAAGCCTTGTCCAACCTCTCTTTCCTTTTCCTACCCTTCTCTTCCTCCAAAACGATGCTAGTATCTCAGCAACCTAATGCACACACGACCAGCACACGTAGCATTACTTCTCCAATCAAAGTTGGTCTCTAGAAAAGAAGCGACTGAAATTCCAAGGACACGTAATAAGCGAGGAGAAGCAATTCCACTTACCTTTCTCTTCCTTTCCTGCACGAAATCTACCCTGCGTACCCAGACCTCCTCGGTGGAGTCATAATCAAGAGTGCTAGAACTACTCGCCTGGCTCTTCATTTCTATCAAACTGCTGTCGAAGAACCTTTTATCGAGATGCGGACTAGGAAGAGGGCTGGTTCTCGAGAAGGTCATGCTGGTCGAATAGGTCGGCGGATCGGTAGCCGGGAAGGTCATACCGGGCCCAGTGGTGTGCCTTCTCCTCAGCGGAGGCTTGGTGGTGGACGTCGGCGACGTGACAGTGGACGTGGTGAACCTGGACGACGTGGTAGTGGTGGTGGTAGTAGTGGTCGTGGACGTGGCGACCGACGTGGTCGTCGAAACGGTCGTTGTAGTCACCGTGGGAGCCGTGGTCTGAGGCTTCGGCTCAGAGACGCTAGGCTCTGGATTCGACTTTTGGTCGATCTTCTCCGAGCTAGATTTCTCGGATATACACGGACTAGAGGCTTTCGAGGAGACGCTCTCGTTCTTCTCCTCTGGTTCTTCGATCTTCGCGACATCCTTCTTGCTCTCGCTAATGACCTTGGCGATCGGTATTTCCACGTTTTTCGCTAAAACACAGGGAAAAAGGAGGATTAGCTGGGAGCACGGCTGGTGGCGATCTCGTTGCGCAATTACGACAAAGAGGCTATTATTCGACCCGGTCGCGCTCGTGACACTCGCCCCTTTCAAGGCTCGCAGATATGAAGACCTGTCTGGTACGCGGTTTCGCGCTAGGCTGCCTGATTCGACACGCGTTCGTGTGCCAGACTGCATCGCGCAGCCATCGTAACAACGTCTGTTATTGTATTTTTCATAGCAAGTATACCTATTCTCGTGGCTGACTGCTGGCCGTGCATAATGTTAACCGTCAGCAATATGATCCAGAGAGACGTCGGCCATTAAATTTGATCGGGCTTGGCGACTCGAGTGAGCAAATCGAGGGAAGCTTCGCAAGCTCTAGGAACTATTACATCGTTACAAACGTGGAATATCATGCTTCCGGGGACACTCTATAAATAAACATCGGCTGAATGAAGTAACTGTTCGCGTCTCGTAGCTGTGTTCCATAGAACGGATGGATGGCAAACGGTACCCACGTTGCTCCTGTGCATCGTCGATAAAGGTCGATCAGATCGATGCAGTTGGACAATCTGAACTAAACTAACATTCTTTTCCTTTCAAATCTTTAATTCGCTATACATCAGCGTACTATCCACGTGTTAATCACATTTCTATACCAAAATTCTGCCCAGTCTAGGTTAAAAGACACTTGTTCCATAAATGCATGCACACGAAATATTCATTCACTGCAGAAATTGATTGACTCCACTTTCTGAAAAATCTGAAATATACAAAGTTATGACTGTACCAAGTTCTTTGACACTTATATTTTAGATTTTTCAAAAAGTGGAGTCAATCGATTTGCGCAGTGAACGTATATAGCTAGACACCGCGTGGAAGACTAGAAATTGGAATATTTTGAAATATTTTGAAATATTTGGAAATATTTTAATTCTGGAACGTCATAGAGTGCTAACACTATTGATAGATAGATTGATAGAAATTAAGAGACGATGTTTCCCGTTTTGGTATTAATAAATATAACGCGTGGTTGCCTAAGTGGAGTGTCTTCTCGCGGTGTTAAGAGAAACGTTGCCAAACGGAACTAAACGAAGCTAAACCACTAGCCACACGCTAATCTTAGCTCTCATTGAACGAGTGCGAGCTCCTGTTAATAGCTCTTCGCGCGTTTTAATGCCCGAATCGTGTTTCGTAACACGCTGCTTTTCTCGCAATCTTCCATAGACGTTCCTTGTGCACGGCACACGATCGAAACGGATCGACCTGGTTCTCGCGGAGAAATGCTTCGCGTTTCAATGAAAATCCTAGCCTCCAACAGACGTAAAATCGATCGTCTAGGATAATTGTTTTGGAAAATTCCTTCCTTCCTTTCTTATTTTTATTCTATTTCCGCTTGGATCGATTATCTCAGTCGAGTGTGCACGGATTGATCGGTACAAGACAGACGGTGAAAACTTTGACTATAAATTGGTGGTATTGAACGTCGGAAAAATAGAGTAGGATAATGTTATATGAAAAAGGGAGTAAATGTGACACCTGACGATATCGTAGCCGAATGTTCGGCGGATGCAGACACGTGCATAGCGCCCTAATTTAAACGATGACTGTAGAGTCGACGTGTACCTACAGGCCATTTTCAGATGCCTAAATTATTAAATTTCGGTTGAATAAAGTATGTCGGTATGCAGGAGAAAAGTCGAGATTAAAAGGGAACGGGCTGATAAAAATTAACGATACAAACGATACTCTGTAATGCACACCTAAATATATTACACATAGTGTACACGAATAATAATATTTATAGTGGGAATAACTTAGGCGAGTATTATCGTGTCTTTAAACAAACAAATATTAATTTTGCCAATATTCATTTTTCTGAAAGCAGTGAATTATTATTGTTCTTAATTGTTCTTAATTGTTTTTATTGTAAATTATATATATTGTTCTTAATAATTGAAGGAATAAAATATCCGAAACTTGCCATTTTGAATGGTTCTGTAGCCTTTAAACGTACAAATACAGTACGCATAGTGTACACGAATAATAATATTTAAAGTGGGAATAAATTAGGTGAGTATTATCGTGTCTTTAAACAAACAAATATTAATTTTGCCAATATTCATTTTTCTGAAGGCAGTGAATAAAATAAAATATCCGAAACTAGCCATTTTGAATGGTTCTATAACTAAGTGTTAATGGGCGACACATTTTCAAAATATTTGAAGAAATTCTCTCAAATGTGCTTTTCCTCGAATTAAATTCTAAAACGTGTAAATTGATATATAATATATAATATTCCATGTGAAAGTTACAATTGAATTTTAATAACAATAATAAACAAGCTATATACTAGACTTATCAACAGTCTAATAATACTGATACCTTATCAACCTGTACGTCTCGAGGGAAAAATATCTAATTACATCGCTATATTAATTAATTTCTTATCGAAATTCACGTTTTATTAAGATTTCGACGGTTTCAATGGTCACTTTCTTTTCAAATTTTGCAAAAATTGTCATTTATTAACCCTCTGCAGTCGAGAGGCGACTCTCGGTCGCCATTTAACCAGATTCTAAAAATCGATGTTAATCGATATGTCAAATTTAAAATTACCCAACAATGCGTGGAATTTCGAAATAAAATAATTCTACGTCTTAATTTTCACACGATTTCCTATTCACCGTTTTAAAAATATCAAAATAAATATCGAAATAAAAATAACGAAAATATCTCCGAGTGCAAAGGGTTAAGATATCGAAATTTGTCAATGTAATTTCGCCTTTAACGAGACAAGTTACCGAAAACTTTAATCTTTTTCGTTTCATTTAACCCTCTATGGGTCCGTGTAATTTTCAAGTTACATGCTAATGTATGGGTATTTTATTCAATACTGCATTCAACGTTATCGTCTTCGTCACTTCAGTTCGCGATTTTTCTTTCGATATATTTATAATTATTTTTACAATACCTCTCGTGGGTCGATTTTTAAAAATTCGAATTATTTTTCATTTACCGGTTATTCGATCATGATAGGTTAGGTCCTCTATGGCCCCCTATGACCTTTTTTCCACAAGATGGCGTGGAAAATTAGCTTGCCTATCTATTGCACATTATCTTGGCACAATAGTACAAACGTTGTTAATTCAAACTTTCAATATGAATTCGTTATAATAAAATTGTCAAAACTGCTGAATTTATTGGTTGATATTTGTTGATTTTATGTTACATACAATTCTTATAGTCAAGAAAAATATATATTCGGTCCATAGAGGGTTAAGAAATAATGGATAATCCGCTTCGTATACACCAATTGGAAAAAAGCAAAAACGAAATAACGTGTTACATACTAATACACGGAACATAGTTACATGTGCATTTATCGAACTTCCGATGGGACATTTAAAACCGGATTTACCATTAATTATGCATACGGCTGCAATGAGCATTTTTCTCTTACATAATAAAAAAAAAAAAAAAAACGGATTCGATATGATTGATACATTATGATAAAACGGAACGACCGTGCAGGTAATAGAATTTAAATGAACAAGTTTTAAGATCGTTAATGGCAGACAGACTGAAAAATGCTCGTGACGAGCTAATATGACTCAATGGACTACGTGACAACTAAAAAGGCAAGTGTTTTAACAAAATCGTTAATCGAAGTGAAAAATTTACATCGGAATGTCAAGGTCGGAATTATTTAATCGGAGAAAAATGAGAATTGAGTCGATATTGAAATGTTATTTCGAGACCCGAGTTGCATCGGAGCGCCTAATTAGGGGAAAATGTCGATTAGCTTGAATTTTTCTCGCATTTTGACCCCCTTTTTATCATCACGTGCGATGCAAGTATAATAATATTTTCATTCATGGAACGAAAACTCTCGCTGACCACAATGAGCCATCGATGAATCACATGGAAAGATAAAAAAGATTTGTATTTCGCACACTGACTGCTATATTGCTCATCCATTGCTTTCACGGTATCACCATTGCGATTATCAGCGACCAGAGTGTCACAATTGTTCAAAATAATTAAAATAAAACCGATATCGTTGATTATAAAATTTTAAACCACGTATAAGTAACAGTATTATGAAATAATAGGAACACTGTTTAATAATTTAAAAAATTTGTTGTAAGAATAATTGCAAGATCAAGTGACAGAATTTTTAATCAAAAGTAATAAAAATTTTATGGTGGTTTTCTAAAATCATCTTAGGAAACTTGCATGCCAGTCAATGTGCCAGATAATCCAGGATAAATAGCTCAAACAAAATCTTACTCTTTAATGAAACAAAGTATGAGAAACTGAACAATATTATGAAATAATAGGAACACTGTTTAATAATTTAAAAAATTTGTTGTAAGAATAATTGCAAGATCAAGTGACAGAATTTTTAATCAAAAGTAATAAAAATTTTATGGTGGTTTTCTAAAATCATCCTAAGAAACTTGCATGCCAGTCAGTGTGTCAGATAATCCACGATAAATAGCTCAAACAAAATTTTAATTTTCAATTACAGCTAATTTCTCGTCATCGACAAAGACAGTACTAATAACTAACTAAATAGCTACCATTACTATTACCAATTTATTTATTATCTCTTTTCAAACTCGTGACTTAAATTAACATAAAAAATGAAAGAAAAATATATTTTTCCGTAATCTTTTGCATCCCCAAGAGCAAATCGGAATTACCCCATCAAAATGGTCTCGAATTTCTTTCCAACCCTATTCCTTTAATAAAAATAACCACGCTAGTAAACCTTCTATTAGACCCACAATGGCCATAACAATGGTAAGGAACATCCAACGTGAGAGTGTAAAGGACGATCCTCAGAGCCAGACTACGTTATCTTAACAGCTAACACGGAATAAATATAATCCACTGTAACTACATAATACACGTCTCTTACCATCTTCGTTCTCGTATTCATCCTCTTCCCTGCACTCCGACAATCTTCTACCCCACGGATAAGGACTATGAGTCTGATTCCTCGACGGTAACCTGTTCACGTGGGACAAAAAGTAATGATGAAAGAAACTATCCACACCGTCTGAATCCTCTCCGGAGGACTGCAGCATATCCTTGAGGGCGGCCAGAGAGGTGATGGTGTTGTAATTGATCGCCGAAATCAAGTCATCCTCGATATCACTGTCGTCGGTGGTATCGTCGTTCTTCGACGCCTGATCCTCCTTCTTGGTCTCAGACGTGACCGTCTTAGTCTGTTCGGTTTTCGAAGCCTCCGTCTTATCGTCTGAACTGGTTTCAGACTCGTCATCAGAGGTGCTCGTAGACGTTGTACTGCTCGACGATTCCTCGTCCTTTTTCCCGTCGGTTTTTTCCTCTTTGAGCTCGTCCTCGTCGGAGCCTTTACACTCGTCCTCGTCATCTTCGTTCTCTTGGGACACAGCCTTGGATAATTTAGTCGAAGCCTCGTCGTTTTGACTAATATTCTCTAAGTTCTTCAGATTCTTCAATGCCTCCTGGTCGCCTAAATCTTTGCTTATCTTCAATACGTTGCTGTCCTCCTGGCCCGTCATCTTGTTCTGATGCCGATTATTGGCGGTCACATCGCACTCGTCCGATTCGTTCTGCTTGTCACCACCAGAACTCTCCATCGAGGAATCTGAAAGGAATAATTCCTCTTGAATATTCCGAGTAACCGATCAATAAACATCGAAATGTCAAAGAAGCCCGAAGATCGTTTAATCTTTCTACGTAGCGACTCGGTACCCTAATCTCGCGGAGTATAAACGGAATAAAAATATCGCATTCTTTTGCATACCAGGCACGGGAGAATTTTACAGATATAATAACAATTATGATATTAATAATTACTAATTAGTAATAATAAAACAGGTGGCTCTCGTATAATACGAAATGAAAGAAATAATTTCCAAAGTCGTTATTCACCGAGAAATATTCGTCCTAAAATAAGATAGGAAGGATCAGGTGAAAAGACAAGGAATTCTATGAAATTTTTATAAATAAAATAAATTTCCAAGTAATAATCAATTACTTAAAAATAATAGATATGTGAGATTAGAATAAGTACGGCCCTGAAAGAATGCCAAGTGTGTTTGGGCTTAGGATGCAAGCGGATTAACTGCAAAGAATGTTCATGGTAGGGTCGAGTGAAAGTTTGGGGATACGTCCAGAGTGATTGAAGTCCTGACCCACGGAGGTTGCGTGGGAAAGGGGCATGATTGGGAAGGAAAGCATGAATGCTTTAAATAAGGGTGCAAGGGCGCGGACAGCTCCAGTCTTGAACGGTCTCCAGGAGTCTTTTGGAAGTTGCTAATAGCGTGTCAATATGGCAATAAGAACTCAAAGTCGAACGTAACCATAGCGAATCTCTCTTAACCAATACTCTATGTATGAGCTTATTTTATTTCATAAGAAGTAAACAGCGCTATTTTAGCCAATCCACCCAAACCAATATGGTAGATATGACACAGACATGATAGATGAAAAAGGGTGCAATCTTAACTCCACTGTTGACAGTGATTCCAACTGCCATTGCCAAAATATTCACCTAAAATCACTGGGAGGACTACTGTTCTTATTCTAGCATCATCCTGAATATTAATTTCTACAAACTATTTTCGCAAGAAATAGAGCCAGTGTCTCGAGGAAAATAATAAAGAGGGAATAGCCAGCAGCGTATCCAAAAGTTCTTTGAAAAGATAAATCAAGGAAAGAGTACACAAGTAACGACAAATAAATCATAAAGGAGAAAAATTGTCTTAGAAATTCAAGATTACAGTTTGCAGCTCTTCAAAGAAGCCTTCCACTCTTGTGCATGAATGGCTTTCTTCGGAACAGTTAACGATGGTGTACACGGTGTATACTTCACTATTCATTGCGCTATTATTTCGTCGTTCCTTGAACATTCTTCTAGCACCGCAGAAAGATCATTCACGACACTTTTGTGATGTTTCAGAGCGGAAGGGAAGCCGAGATTTTTCAGTGCGAAGCGATTTATAATCAAGGCGATGATAACTAGGACACCGAAAAAAAGGTAAAAATAACTCGCCAATCGATCAATTAATTCTCTCATAATAAGCTCGCAAGATGACCCGTTAAGCTGTCCTTATTCTCTCTGCGTGGATAAATATATATCGTATATATATACGTAATTATCGATATAATTATCGGTGTAATTATTCGCCACCTTCTTCGAAGTGTATAAAAGATGAAAAGACCATGGGAAAATTCGATGGGGAAAGTTCTCGCTCGTCTCTTCCTATGAAATCGAGAAACACGAAAATGCTGGTGGAAAATAATCACGTTAACATCGAAGGTACAAAACACGAATGTTTTCAACAAGCGATGAAAGTAGCAAAGTTCATAAAGCGACGTAATGGAGCAAGCGAAAGGGTATTAAAATTTTTTTAATTAAACGACCACGTTAACCTTCTAAACCACGCTCTCGTGCAACTTTTAATGAGGAACGGAGAAAAGAACCCAGAGAAATATCGTGACAATGTCTGAATAAAATCTTAACAACCGTCCTATATAAGGAACGCGTCCTTCCTCTTATTGACCAACAGTACTCTAGCTCTACGATCCTGGAAGATTCCTTGAGAATCGTGCATTTGCTTCTCCTACAGACACGCAAAAACGTATTACGGAATTTTAGTCGAAGGTGAACACTATGTACGTCAAACTACACTCGTAATGTTCAAATTATTAATCATTGCTTTTTGAGACTGTACATTTAAATTACTCCGCGGGAACAAGTAAAACTATGGAAATTGAAAATGAAAAATAAAAACTTATATTTTCTTCGATGTGTCGATAATATTCGTGATATTAGTGATTAGTGACATAATGTTAAACTGATAGTATAATAAATAAAATATTCGTGTACTTTAACATTATTGCCAATCGTTGTTAATTATTATTTTCTAATAACCTTAAATTTAAATTGGTCGGTTGTAATAAAAAATAAACGCTATATCTCTAAAAAAAATCGTGGAAGTAAAAAACAAAATGGCGAACATACCCAATTTAATGAGATTAAAATGATAGTATAGCAATTTAACGGAGCAAATTCGGTCTCTGTGACTTTAAAAATAAAGAATAAATATATTCCTAAAAGAAAATGGCGACTTATGGAAATAAAAAAGAAAATGGCGAATAACATACCCAATTAAACGGAATTAAAATGATAGTATAGCAATTTAACGGAGCAAATTCGATCTCTACAATTTTAAAAATAAAGAATAAATATATTCCTAAAAGAAAATGTCGACTCGTGGAAATAAAAAAGAAAATGGCGAATAACATACTCAATTAAACGGAATTAAAATGATAGTAAAGCAATTTAACGGAGGAAATTCGGTCTCTGCGACTTTAAAGAATCCCTAGACCCGAATCCCTTCGTTACTTCGTAACTTCGACGATTTCATACGTGTTCGAGAAGCACGTAGGCCATTGAGAACCTTAGGCTTAGAGGGGAAACAAAAATGGCCGGTGACCCGGATAACTTAATTGATTAAACGCAATTGGCCGGCAAGCAAAACTCCGAATTCGAATTCGAATGCTGGTCCAGCGAACCGAGCATTCGTTTGAATTCTTCCATTTCCGTCTCCCGAGCAAATTCGATGTTTGATTTCCTCCGTGAAAAATTCCGAACGTCAGGCCGGAATAAATCTAACGTATATTCCGATTCGACTGATCAGCGCGAGAAAATTAACGACGAGGTGCAAATAACAAATGCTATTTGTTAGATTTCCCGCTCTGTCCGTTTTTTTAACCAGCAAGGAACGCTTTGTTGCATTCGTGAACACGTCACTGGCGCATTGCGGTAAGTACGCCCTCTATTTCGTAACCGTGGAAACGTTTGTCTGTATAGCAAGTTTTGCTATAGATGCATATTATACAGCAACCCGGTCCTTCGCTATACCCGGCGGGAAGAGCAGGCGAATCACGGCACACGAAGGAAACAATAAGGCTAGGTATAGTTGCGTCTAATTATTTTCGTTAATGAACTTTTCACGTGCTGCTGTATCGATCGATGGTAAAAAAGGAAAGGCGAGATATATCGCTGAGTGGAAGGTAGAGAGTCGGTTTACACGTGATTCGCTTCTTCTCTTGCTTCCATGAAATTGTTACGTGTAAACCGGCGCTAATAGACAGATAGGTCATACAGAAAATCGAACTTCATCGCGCGCGAGGTTATGTTAACGTACTTCGATAGCGGCCCACGCGGTCTTGGATTTGTGGCAATGGTTGTATAGATTTTTAAATATATATATGTTGGTATAATAACACTTTGCACTCGACGATCTTTTCGTTACGGGAAAATAGTAATTCGAAGACTTCCTGCCATAAAGTCGACGATATTTCTAAAACGGTGAATAAGAGATCGTATGCAAATTAAGACGTAGAATTATTTTACTTCGATATTCCACGCATCGTTGGGTAATTGTAAATTTGATATATTAATTAACATCCATCTTTAGAATCTGATTAAATGGCGACTGAGAGGCGCCTCTCGAGTGCAAAGGGTTAAAATTTCGAAGCTCGATATTAACCCTTTGCACTCGATGACTTTTGGCTAGAGAAGAGTAGAAATTCAAAGATTCTCTACTAAAAAGTTGACGATACTTTTTTGAGCAGTAAATAAAGAATTGTATAATAATAGAATTGTAGAATTATTTGACTTCGATACCCCGCACACTGTTACATTGCATTAAATTTGATATATCAATTAATATCGATCTTCCAAATTTTATGAAATGGTGACTGAAACTCACTTCTCGTGTGCAAAGGGTTAATTAATATATCAAATTTAAGATAATACGATTTTTTATTTAGTACTCGAAAAATATTATTACAGTCTTATAACAGGAAATTTTTCAACTCGTACCCTTCTTTATTCAAAAAATTATCGAGCTCAAAGGATTAATCTTGCACTAGTATCTACTATAACATATTTTATTTTATTTTTTGATTTCTCATTAACGATTTCTCTCAATTTTTATATTTATATTATATTACATTAATATTCGTCATATTCCCTTTTCTCAATTTTTCATATAATTATTCGAATATTCTAATAAATAAATATTCAACACAGTGGTACGTTTGTCGAGCAATATTTATCGGTATAAAACGCCTAAGTGTCTGGAAGATTGGAAATTGGTCAGAATAAAAATTTATCGCATTTTCTGTGTTATTACAGATACCAATCCGCGTATTTAATTATCGAATGATAATTAAAAATATCGATCGCTTATCTCGACTATCGTTTACTAATCTATACGTTTAATTTAGCAGTAGAACGAATTCCTTATAACTAATCCTGTGAATAGTGGATGAAATATTAATAACAATAGGAACAATTCCTTATTTAATTATAAAAATGATCAAACACAGATATTAAGTTCAAATATAATTAACCCATCAGCTGCCAAATTTCTTTTCCTGAAATTTTTGGCCGGATAAGTTGTATATATGCACAAAAGATCGCGTAACAGTATAATTATATTCAAATTATGTTTCGTTTTGAAGATATTTGATATTTTTGAAAAAGTCCCAAAATAGGTGTCGTTATAAAATGATCGATAAAATCATTTCGATAAAAAACAAAAGACTGAGTGAGTAACAAATCGT